TCCAGTTTCACTACATGTCCAGCATCATCCTTGCAGCCTGTCCTGACAACACTTTTGCCACCAGTCTTGGTGCCGACAACTCTTTCAGAGGTCTTGTTTGCTGGCCATTTCTGGAAGTGCTCACCTGCTTTCTGGACTACCCCTGATGCCCTGCAGTTTTCTGTCATCCATGACTGCTGTCGGCACTGGAGCTTCTAGCCCTCCGGGACCCAAGGACCCTGCAGATGGTTGGACTATCTCTCTCCAGCTACACCTGGGAGAACAGAACCACTCTCAGAGCAAGGTTCAGCTCCTGTCAGAGCGCTCCTCAGCTCCTTTTAGCCTATACCTGAGTCAAGGGAATCTTTTAGGACCGTTCTGCTACTGCCCCAGTCACTCAGCAACACATGGCTCGTTGGGTCGGTGCCTGACTCCTTCACCTCAACATCAGGTCATTGTAACTGAGAGCTTTCTCCTCACAGCTGGTATGCCTCTCCCGACCTTTGCATGCATTGGGTTCCTCAGTACCTCTTTGCTCTCGAGAAAACTCACTGCAGCCCTGGGACATTTGGGAGGCTATCACATATTTTTCCATTGGATTAAAAGCACAGCATGAATGCTGCAATAAGAAGTGAGTCAAAATGTAACCTAGCTTGCTGCGTGGATTTCTGTAGTTGACCCACCTCGTCCTCTGTGTTGCAAAACACAGAGGCTGTGACATCAAAGTCATCCTGCAGCATCAAAGATATCGCTATAACTAGATATTGGCCAAGGTACCAATACCCATCACCATCTCCACAGGTAGCCGTGGATGTCCAAAGAGGATCCTGCAGCATCCCATCTCTCCCCCAGGAAGGATGTGGAGGCCTTTTGAAAGAGAACAGTTACACACTTCTCTACAGCTAATGCTGGCCAGGAACAAGATGCTAGCTGCCAAATACGCTCATGAATGCTGCAAATTCTCTTCAGTGATTAAATAACTGGGTTTTTTTTAGCAGAAATGCAGCCCACAGCTTCAGTCAGCACGCTGCAATGTTGTTCCTGACTTTCTGATTCAGGTTTCTCTGGGACACTCAGCTATCTGCTGATGATTGTCATACAAAGGTCGCTCACCTTTTAGCACTGCAAAGAAGGAGGCTGCAGATTTGTCCAAAGACTCCATACAGCTATGCTTTCCTGCAGGTGTTCCCATGGGGTTCTGGGAAGCAGGCCAGTGCTAGACTCTCCTCAGCTCCACATCAGAGACCTGTGGTGACCCAGGCACTGCCCATTCAGCAAATCCTCTAAAAAGGACCTTTTCAAGAGTCTCCCAATTAATGTCAGGCAGCCAGCCACTCTTCTGCCTCCCAGCACTTCTGAAGAGGCACACTTTGGTTTTTGCCCAGAACTACTGGGAGATGTGAACTTTCTCTTTCCTAATCCTCAGCCCTTTTGGGGATCTGTCACCTCAGATAAATGGGTCCCTTCTCCAGGACCACTCTCTGATGCACGAGGCACAGATGATAACGTGCTGCTTCCAGGCATCATGTAGGGAAGAAGCCTGGAGCAACTGCTTCCTTCTGCAAGAAAGGAAGCATGTTTGGTACCCATCCTGGACTCCCAGAAGCTGAGCAATTTCCTACACAGAATCGATCTCAGGTTGGTGCCTTGTTAGAAATCATCACAGCCCTTTGCGAAGGAAGACTGGTTTGCATCCCTCTGCCTCCGGGATGCCCATTTTGACACATTTCCACATTGTGCATCTCACTCTCAGACTGCTAAGCTGTGAGCACCGGCTCCTTCCGGTGCAGGATTCTGCTGCTTGGCCCCTCCGCAGCCGCAAGGTGTTGGCTCGGGAACCACTGTGTCTGTCTTGAGCACCCAGAGAAGGGCAGCTCTGTTACTTCCCCTCTGGAGCCGACCCGAGATCTCTTCTAGCTCCCCAAGCTTCTCAGCCAGTGCCAGGAGTCTCGCAGGTAATCCCATTCTGACCTCTGGAAACTCCATTGCCTGTCCACGTGCGTGTTGAGTACCAACCTGCCTGGCAGCCTTTGCTCACACTACATCCCCTGCCAGACCTTCCCTTCTGTCTCACCAGGTGTGGCTGCTTTGTGCCTACAGTGCCTCGCCACAAAGTTATTAGTTATCTCTTACTAGTAAGTAACTTCTTTTTGCTTGTTATGTTTGCTTTAGCTCTGGGCAAATAGCAAGCAGGATGTTTTATATGAAGTGCTTTTGGTGAGTGCTCTATCTCAGGAACACCCAGCCCAGCTGATCTCAGGTTGCACGGCTGATAACCAGGTTTCCAAGTCACAGCGCCATTTCTTAGGTCAGTTAAAGTCTGCAAATAAATTGCAGAGCACCTCAAAAAGTCAGAACGAAGCAGAAGATTATGACTAGCTTCAGACCTGATGCTAAAAGGACCAAAACATGAAAGGGGAATCACTCGGAGAAAAACATGGTATCACAGAAATCTGGAAATGCAATGGAAAATTCCTTCAGCAAGACTAACTCAATGATACTGCCGAAGAGTATTTTCTATTCCTATTTTTATTGGTAAGTGTAGTTTGCACTTGTAAGAGATGCCAAGAAAGACAAGAAAAGCAATGTGTTAAGGTTGTGTGCAAGTGACTACTGCGGGTAACTCTGGAACCTGTCTGAAGCTAGTTAATGCCCAACACGGACAAAGGAGTATTCAGTGAGCTGGGCTTCTGCACCCTGTCCTGCGCTACTCCCGTCGCAGCCTGTCCCTCCTTCCCATGGCTCTGCCAGAGTCCCATGTGCCCCCGGCAGCCGCTCTGCCCAGGGAACCCATGCAGGCTGTTCCGAGAAGATGCTCCCGTGCTGATCTTGTTCCGGTCACTGTTATTTCTGCGGCGGGGTCCTGTTCTGGGAGATGACGAAAATGCCATTCGAGGGAGTCAGCATTTAAAATGGGTCGTTAGAGAGAAACGTCACAGGTGTCTTTGCTAAAGATAGCCTGGTGCTGAGTAAAACAGTGCCTCCAAAACCTTCATTTCACAACATGCTCACTCAGCATAACAGCCCCTTGGCCCCAAATGCCCCCAGTCGCAGAGAGCTCCTGCCGTTTTCCTGGGCTCTCCATCAGTCTCTCATGACCTCCCCTCATTGGGAATACGTCTGTCTCCTTCGCTGGTTTGTGCAAGAAAGAAGCATCCCCTAGAACACGGAGTCAGTTAGGGGTGGTTTTGGAGACTAGAGGGGAACAGTGACATGGCACCGAGGCCAGGAGTGCAGAGTGGGTCGGGATGGAGGGGGAGAGCAGCGAAAACAATGCGTCCCCCGGGGTAAAGCAAGCGGAGGGGAGCAGACGACATCGGGCTGCGGAGCCATACGTGTCTCCCCACCACGGTTCCATCTCTCTTCTCTCTCTCTTGTCTTCACCCACACACTCACACCATTCTCGCACTGCTGATTCAGGGGAAAGAGAGGTTGATGCTTTCTGCTTGGACTGAGCACCACAAACTGTTTTTCTTCAACAGAAGGAAAAAACACCTCCCGCCAACCGTCACAAGTTCTCCCCCATCTTTTCTCCTCTCTTCCTCCCTCATGCCATCCCATGGGCTGTGTAACATAGAGGACACAGAGGACCACTACAAAACAGTCCCCAGAGACACTGAGGCGCACAAGGTTGCATGAGGTTCCCCTGCACCGATCCCACTCCTCGGGAGACTGAAGAGCCATGTGTGATAAAAGAGACAAGAGCAGTCACCACGACGGGGAGCTGCTGAAGTGAGGCATGCCACTTGCTCTCTTTTATCTTCCACCTTCACCACCCAGCTGAGGAAAACTAGAGAGCGATCAAGGATCCCTCCATGGTGAAGCAGCGGCCTCTCTGAGTCACCTCCCTTCCTTTACGCCCAGGAAAAGCCCCAGCCCAACCCTCAGGCGATGAGCAGCCGAGGGGCTTGGGTGTCTGAGACCTGTCATGAAGGGCTGATTAAGTCTGAAAAAGTCAGAGCCAGTGGGTTGCTGGAAAGTGTGAGACACAACAGTGGGGGTTCTCTGAGGCAAAAGGGGCCCCAGAATGAGGCACATGGGTGGAAATGTATGACCCTACGCAAAGCTCAACAGCTATACAGGAGCTAGGATAAGCCCCCTCAGCGTACGAGCTTGGGTGGGTCTTCCCCAGCGCTGCTGAAAGAGGAGGGTCCCTTGCTCACACCCCTGGCAGTGCCACAGCGTGCAGCCCTTCTTCTCGGTGCTGGCTGCCTCTCCTGGATGCTCCTTGCTGTCTCCTCAGACCACCTCAGCTTTGTCCAAGATTGCACCTGGATTGATTGCTCTGGCTTGATGGGTTACATGTGCCCTGGTTGGAGCTCACTATGGATCCTTTCCTCATGCTGCCCATGAACTGGCCAATGAGAAAAAAGAAACAAATCAGCACATTTTAAGGATTAAAGAAGGCAAAAAAAAAAAAGAACACCAAAAACCCAACAATAACAACAACAAAAAAAAGAACAGCAGAAAAAAGACCAACACGTTCTCAAAAGCCCTGAAACAATTAGAGACAAGCTGTAAGAGGCGGAAAGATCAAACCAAAAAAGGTAAGAGATGAAAGAAAAACATGAAGGGCACTTGCTGGGAAGTGTCTTCTACACTTTTTCCACTGTCTATGTAGAAGCGAAACTTGTAAGAAAAACAACAGCGACCCAAAGAATTTCCACTAAAAGATGCTTAGAACAGTGTCTCCGGTCCCTCCCTCCTCTCTCTCACTGGCTGCAGCCCTGCCTTCACGTGCCTCAGACTTGTACTGGTTCCTTGGTCGTGACGCATCTTCTTAGCAATACGAGGAAATTCGCTGCCCACCTGCAATATAAGAGCATCTAGGGAAAAGCTTTGATCAGAGAGAGAGACAGCATGAGAGCAAGCACGTCCAGCTGACCCCCTCTTGGCTCATCCACCCACTCTAACATCTTCTTTGCCCATGCTTCATTTTTATTGATCTCGTAAAGCTTCTGACTTGATCAAGCCGGACCCAAGTGGGAAGACGCAGCCTCTCGCCTCTCCTGGATGCCACCATGAGGCTGGTGTCCCTGGCGCAGTTCCTCACCTTCACTCTGCTGGTTTTCAGTGGTAAGAGGGGCTAAAGGGATCAGGGAGGGCAGAGTAGCTCACTAAGCTGAGTCTGGATGTCACTTGGTCCCTGACAGGTCTGGAGGGGAGAATCTGTGCCCTTCTAACCTCACCGAAGATGGCCAGATATTGCCCTCTGCTCCATGAGTCCCCCCCTTTGCCCAGCCCTCCATCTCGTTACAGCTGGCCACATCCTACCAGGAGTAGCACAGGGAGAAGGCAAGGAGCGGAAAGTGTGGGCCAGAGCAGGGAGCTCAGCTGTGCTGCCTTGCCACCTGAGCCCCAGAAAGATGTGGAAGAGCTCAAAGCAGCTGCTCGACAAGACATCCGTGCTGTGGAAGCGGCATGGGGGAAGGTACGCCAGGGCCAAGACAGATCCGTGTCCTTTTGGGGGGACTGGGGAGGGTGGGAGACACTTTGAGCCCCCTTTCTCCTTCCCCACATTCCCTCCTTCCACCCCGACCTCGCCTTCGCCTCTGCCCCAAGCCGCTGACTTTTCCCGCTCCCAGCGCCCATCAGGAGACACACATGGTGCTGGAGGTGGGCTACTCGGGCCTCCAGAAGACGGCCCTGCCCATGAGGCCCCGGGTGTCAGTCCAGGACTCTGCCTTGCGCAACGGCAACTTCTCCCTGCGAATCAACCCTGTCCGGAGCGAGGACGCCGGGCTGTACGAGGCGCAGGTGGCACACAACAAGGAGGTCCAGACCTGCTGGGTGGAGCTGGGGGTAATTACAGGTAGGAGAAAATGGAAACCCTGGAGAATGTCGATTTTAGGTCTGGGGAGGTTGCAAGGGTGGAATGGGGTGGGGATGATGTGTTTGCCAGGGCAGGTTAGGGTACAGGCAGCAGCCCCACGAAAGCGTGGAGCTTCCTGCTGTCTGCTCTCGGCTCTGGAGAGAGGAATGCCCGAGGGACAGAGCTAGGACAGGAGGGCCACAGAGGGATGGTTTGGCAGTCCCCCATGTTCTTTAGCTTCCCCTGCCTCCCCCTCTTTCTTTTTCTTGCAGTAACCCTCAGGTCACCCCACCCTGTGGTAGAAAACGAGCCGCTCTTGTTGAGCTGCAACTCTAGCCACCGGGCCAGCCTCGTGGAGACCCGCTGGTTCCACAACGGGCGCCTGGTCCACACCTCTGGGACCTTCTGCTCCTTGCATGGGGCTCTCTCCATCCTCCGGCCAGCCATGAGTGATGCGGGCTGCTGGTCCTGCCAGCTCAGATACTCCGATAATGAGGTCATTTCTGCCACGTACAACCTGCAAATTCTAGGTGAGCTCAGCCTCTGTCTTGCTAGTCCCCCATCCCCAAGTTGCTCCTTTCGTGTGACTGACCAACCTCAGTGGCTCCAGCTTCCCAGCACCCACTCTGTCCTCACTTCCCAAGTGTCACCTCCCTGCAGAGCTCTTTCCAGCCACCACTCCACATTGTCCTCTCTCTCTGGCTCAGGTTTTGATGGCCCAAAGAACCCTGTGGTCTATGCTGCAGCTGGCTCTGCAGTCAATCTACCATGCACCCTGAGCTACCTCCCCAGTGCCTTTGGGATCAGCGTGGTGACAGCCCACTGGAGCCGCCTTGCATGGGGACACTTGCAAGACCAGAGCATCCTCCAGAATTCGAGCAGCAGAAGCTTCCCCCATCGTCTCCCTGTGGTGGATCTGAGTGATGCAGGGCAGTACCACTGTGCTGTCTCTGTAGGCAGCAAGACAATCAGCAGGGATGTGACCTTGGCAGTGGTTACAGGTGAGAGGAGAGACAGGGAGGTGCATCACTCCTCTGGGGTCCCATCACTTGCAGATAAACCTCCCCACATTTTGGTGCAGTGGGCATGGGTTGCTCCTGCTGATAGGTTCTCACCCCAGGGAGGGATACAAGGTCTCTATTCAGGGCATTGCACTGCACTGGACTGCTGAAAGCAGGGGTTTTCTGGGGTAACTTGATTATTCTTCCTGAAGACTGAGGAAGACAAAGAAAATAAATTAGAGCACATAATGAAGGAGGGGTGCATTAGAAGAAGGAGGGGTGGGCAAGAGATGTGGACCTGCATGTAGTCTTTCCTGAGGATAGTTTTTTCCTTTGCTGCAGTCACCCCAAGCATCCAAGGACCGGTTTCTGAGGGATCTCACTTGCTGCTCATCTGCAGCCTCACACACCTCCGGGGACATGAACGTTTCCAGTGGAGGCACCTCAGCTCAGCCCCCACTCACAGCAAGCTGACTGTGGCCACCGACCGTAACCTGGAGGGCCACAGGTCCAAGATGGGCCCTACCTTGGAAATACCCCAAGTGTCACAAAAGGATACGGGCACGTGGGAATGCAGTGTATATGGCCCAGAAGGCAGACTGGGAGGAGTGGAGTACGGGCTGCAGATCACAGGTACTGTGTCCCATGGATCTGTAACCAACCCTTTCTTTTCGCCCTGTTCAATTCCCTGTGCCCTTTCCCCTCTCAGCCTCACCTCTTCCTTCTCCCCTTTGACCACTTGGATCCCATCTTGTTGTCATCCTGCCTTAGCTCTCACCTGTTCCTCCTGTTTCTCCTTCCAGTTCCCTTCACCCTTTTCCCTTTTTGTGCAGTCCCAGCCTTGTGCCAGTGCAAAATCAATCTTCCCCTCCTTCCTAACTATGGTTCTTCCTCACAGGTGCCCAGGTCTCCAGCCCTCCCACCATCTTCAGTGGGCAGGTTACTTTTGGGCTCACACTCACACTCTTCCTCCTGCTTATGGTCTGCATTCTGGCTCTGGCCCTACAAAAAAGGGTAAGTGTCCATCATCCCATTTCTGTTCGTTTTCCTGTACATCACCCCTTATTGCACCTTCCCCTGGGTACCCTAGAGACAGCAGTGAAATGTCCCAGGGACACAGCAGCCAGAAGAAGAATGGGGCTCGGGCAGCCTGCTGAGGGTGTCATGGATATGTGGTAAAAGCTGTATCCTGGGCATCGGCAGGTCTGGCTAACCGTGGCATTCATCTGGGGGCAGGTCAGATGCTTCAGAGGAGGGGTAAAACACAGCCCATCCTTGGAAAGCACCTTGTTTATTCTTGCAGAGATGAAGCCACACTGCAATAGAGGAGGGTTAATTTCCAGGCTTTTGTAGGAGTCCTCTCTCTTATTCCTTATCTGGATGCTTTGTTGTAACAGAGTCTCCTGTTCCATATAAATGCCTGCTCGTCCCCAGATGCCAGTCTCGATGCAGTTCTGTTTTTGCTGGCTCAGCTCTCATGCCTCGGCTGTCGGCTTCTGACAACTTACTGCCCTTTGCTCAGCTTGTTTCAGCACCTCGTCTTCTGAAAAATCTGCCTTGCCTTTATCATCCCAAAGACAAGGCCAGGACTGATCCCTCCCCAGCACGCCACTGGAAAAAGCTGTGCAAACAAGTCAGATTGTTTCTCCACAGCCTTCATACTGTTTCTCTACAAATTAATTACATGGCAAATTCTTCATTCAGGGTTTCACTTTGCTGACAAATGACACCTCTCGTGAATAGCTGTGATGTAGTTGCCTTCACTCAGCTTCTTGGAAAGGGCCTACAGTGAAAATCCCCTTCTAGTGCAGAAGGGGCTGGTGGCTCAGAGCAATCTCAGATTGGGAGAACTTGCCTTGGCGAAAGAGCTGGGTGCCTTGAAGCTGCCTTGACCTGAAGATGAGGGATGTAACAGCTTTGATGTAAATTCTTAGCAAATCTTGGTGGCTGGAGGCTGAAGACAGGCAACATCAGAACAGAAGCAAGGTGGGCATTTTAAAAAAAAACATTGCGGGTAGCACTAGAGAGACTTGTGAGTGGTTCTTTGTCATCGACCCTTAATCAGCACTGACGGTAAAAGATAATCTAAAGCAGAGATCTACAGTTTCTGGGTGACTCTCTAGACTGTGCAAGTCCGGTACAAGATGATCAGAAACGCCCTTTCTGGCCTAAAACCTCAGACAAATAACCCTTTACAGTGTAGCTGTAAACCGTTAGCTAGCAGGAAAGAGGACATCTGGGTGTCCAGCTCTGCTAGCTTAAACAGCTCTAATCCAGCCAGGACACTTCTCACCTCAAAGCTTCTGTATTCGCCCTCACAACCTTGCTTTGCCAAGTAAGCAAAGCTCCCCATTCGCAGCACAGCTTCTCCATCCACTGATGGTCCTCCTGCCCTTCTCTGGATGGCCTCCCCGGCGGGCTCCTCCTTTGTGAGAGCGCAGGCGAGGTGCCTTGAGCAAAGATATTAGCTCTTTTCTTGTTCTCTCCCTCTCTCTGCTGGCATTCTCTGAGATTACATTTGCTCTTCTTGCATTGGTTGAATGCTGGCTGCTCGCCGGTATCTCTTGATGGGCTATTGCCCACATGTTAGAGATTTCTGTTCCGACCCCCTGAGCCTACCAGCGTGCAGGTGGTACTGGTGCATTTCATTCCCCCTGTCATTCAGTTTACTGCTCCGTTCTCCTGAAATCTCTGGGTCTCTGGTGACATTTTCATCCTCTTTCTTCCAAATGAGGCTCCTCAGCTTTATCAGCTACATAACTCATTAGCACTTTCACACTCTCGGTGCCATTAATGATTGGTCCCACACTGATCTTTGAAGACTTGTGCTTATCATTTGTCTACAGCCTGGCAGAAACCTGCCAGCGAAATCCCAGTCCCTTCCTCTTAGCTGAGACCGCACCTACCATATGCAATTCTTCTACTAATCTCTGCTTTCCAGTTGTATTGATTGCCTGTGTGTCACAGTATACTCTACCATTATCAGGAGCCCTGGGATCTACCTCTTTTTTTTTCATTGTCTAGGAAGTCACTTGTTAAAGCAAGATGTGAAGTCGATTCTGTCTTTAATTTGTTCTTATCTCATTTTGCATGAACCTTCATGCCTTTAATCATTCTCTCTGAAAAGGTATTGTAAAATCTGGCATGCCGTTGAACCTGACAGTGGCCTGACCATTGCCCAGATAATTCTTTGCTCTCTCTGAAGCATGTTCTGTCTTTGTTATTCCTTATGCCCATGACACCACAGAGGACAGTGTTGGTCAAGCCTTCCCCAGAAGAAACTGCATGTCTCAGAGAGTGGGACTGGGGCTCTTCCCGGCTCTAGGAGGGAATGGGACCCTCATGGCTGCAAGCAGTAGAACCGTGTCTTCCACAGCAGGGAGAAGCCCAGACTTGTGCCATTCAGTCTCCCTTCAATGCGTGATATTTCCCCTTCCTTCCCTTTCAGGCACGGTCTCCTGCCTTCCCAGCGCTGGAAGGGATGATTGCAGTCACTGTGCCGAGGAAGAAGGAGATGGAGGAGAACCAGAAAGAGAAGATCCAGCAGACTGAGTGCTGATGGGAGCAGGGACACCGGGCCCAGTCTGCATGGGAGAATGAAACTCTGTGTGCCATGCTGCAGAGAGATGGGCACCATGCAGACCTTTCAGGAGGGTCTAGGGATGGCATGAACATAGCAGGAGGCCATGGGAGCTCTGTATCTGCAGAGGGGCTGGAAGACGAGGCTCACCGCTGCAGTACGGTGGCAGGCAGCACAGATGCTTTGGAGCTACTGGGAGTATTTGAGCCAGCAGCTATTGCCTGCTCCAGTGCCAGTTCTCTCTCCCACCCTTTGCCCCTCCTTCATGGCCTCTCCCACAGCCTTTCACTGGTGGGACACTTCAGCGTGGGAGAAGGCTGGAACCCGGCTCCCCTGCAGCCTGACAGCGTTTCCCTCCCTCTGCCCACTCTCTTCTCCCTCTCCCCGTGCTGCCCTGCTCTTGCGCTCATTCAGTGGCAAAGGGGACCCCACAGAGGACTGCACATGTTGCACATATTGAGCATTTTATTTTATTAGAAACTCATTTTAGATCCTAAAATAAATCTGACAAAATAAACCCGCTGGCCCCTGCGTGTGCTTGTGGAGGATCGCGCCTCTTGACGGTGCCGGGTATACCCCCGCCTGTGTGAAGCAGCTTCTAAGGACTTTGCTGCCTTCTCTTTCTCTTTCATTTCTGTTCTACTGAAGTTTTCTGTTCAATTCTGACATTTTGATGGCGGGGAAGAGGAAATTAAATGCCACCAGAGAACAAAGAATCACAGGTTCAACCTCTCCTTTTTGCTGTGCTTCAGAGTATTTTTTTTTTCCCCTGTCTGGCTCTCCCTGCTCATTCATTCATTTATTCCTTCTGTCAGTCCTCACTTTTTCCTGATAGATCTCCCATTGATGTTAGGGCTCTCTGTCTCTCTCCTCTGGCTAAGGATGTACTTACTCATGTAATTGTGAGTCTGCCAGGTAATGTCTCCCATGACCCTCAGAGTGTTTAGGTTTCATCTAGTTAGAGAATGCTCTTCACCTACTCTCTGAACAGGTGGAGGACTGTGGTACCGCTTTTGAACAGTCATTGCACGCCACCCCAGAAGAAAGCCTCATGAGTAAAGAGAGTCACACATGTAGTTTCTCCCATATGGGTCACTGGGCTGTGGCTGCTCAAGCAAGGAGGTGGTGGTGGTACAAAAATGAAGATCTCAGTGTTCAGGAAGGGAAATTCCCTTGACTTGAGCAGAGGACTTCACTACCAGGCCAACTTTTCACTATTTCAGGTCCTCTCCTTCCCCCCAAGAGCTTCAGGCACACAGGTAATGAATGTGCTCTGGAATGCTCAGACTGCAGGCAGCAGAGCAGCACCCAAAAAGCCCAACTAGCCCACTTTGGGGAGCACGCCTGGGCTCCACAGCTTCTTAACTACTCAGCTAGCCATGTATTTTACCGAATGTGATACCCATTTCTCCTCTAAGTCTTAGAGAAATGCAAGCAGAGGTGTGAGGCAGACTTGTCTTCTTCAACTCTCTCACACATTTTCAGGCAGACACTGAAACAGCACCAACATGAAGAAGGACAGTCCAGCCTGGTACCAGGCATCTTCCTAGGCAAATGATAATGCTGCAGTTTTTTCAAGTTGGGAGTGGTCTGTCTGGCTTAGACTCCTCTCTCTGCCAGATGCTTTGGAGAAAAGGTGTGTTAGCCCCAATGGGGCTAAGGAGCAATCCAACATTCAACAGGACCCCATCATACTCTCTCAGTGCCTGACAGGGGTTTGCTCTCTCTTTTCATGCAGAGTGAGATGCTCCCTCCTCCTGTAACACTTTCAGTATTGCCTGTTACCACTCTGGCTGTTCTCATTGCTCAGGTGTGTGCTCAGTCTGTCTTTAAACCTCGCTGTTTTCTTGTACTCTCTGACTTGCTCTGGCAATCAGTCCTCGGGACTGCTTGTTCACTGTGTGAAAATGGTTACTCTTTATCAGTTTTGAATTCAAAGCTTTCTGTTTTCATCATCTGTTTTCTCCTGTCACAAAGGCTGGAAGAAAAGGGACTCCCAATCTATCACGTCTCAGCATGTCATCATTCTACAGCCTTTTATCACATCACTTTCTTCGTATTTTCCTATCCCCCGTGGACTCATTTCCCTTCCGGTACAAATACCAGATTTTGGGGACTTTCTCCTTGACAATTTGCTCAAGCCCATCTCTATGCATGGTCAACTGTCCTCGGATCCTTTGTTCTGGAAGAGGAGGCAGCAGCCCGGTGGGTGAGCAGTGCTGGCTTACACGGAGGTACAGTGCCTTTCTCCGCATTACTTCCATCCTGTCCTTCACGGCTCCTGACGTCTTGCCTGCTGTTCTGGCTGTTGTTCCCCACTGAACAGCACTGAGCTTGTACCGAGCTGTTCACTGTGTCCCCAGTGAAATGCTTGTTGTGATGCCCAGGGCTCTCGCCTGACCTGGTACAGTTACAGTAAGCCAAAGCCTAGAAGTATTTATGCAGTTTACATTTTCCCTCCAGCTACATGACTCTGTGAACAGCGATGCTGAATTTCATTTGCCTTCCCGTTGCTGATGAGCACAGCTTTCTTACATGTCTCCAAAGCTCTTGTCATTCTCTCGTCTCCCGACAAATTTAAATAGCTTCATGTCACCTACATACTTGGCCTTCTTGCTGCTTATCTCCTTGAACACTAGTAACTCATGTCTGAATTCAGATACTTTCGGGCCTCACTGCTGCCTCTGATGACAACTGTCAGTTTAACCCTCCTCCTCACTTCCCAGCCAGGGGCCAGCCCCAGGCGCACAGCAGAGCCATCCCGCTCGCCTCCACGCAGGGCCAGTCGGTTGCAGCTCCGAGGGGGCAAGGAGAAGGTGCTTGCTGCAGAGGATGCTTGCTTTGTTCCAAGATGCAAACCTCCAGCTGAGCACTGGTTATTCACTGTAACACGGGTAGTCTTGCTTCATGACTCTTCACCAACAACTGACGATACCTGGAGCCAGCTTGACCAGAGGCATTCACACAGTTGTGTACGGTTACACTGCAAGACCTTGGGTACACAGTACGCACCTCCACAGTCACTGTAGTACCTGTATCGGGTCCTGAAACCACTTTATTTGTAACGGAGAGTACAGTGGTGGCTGAGGTGCATAATCTATGAGGTGCCTATGTTAGGGTGACACCATCTAAAAGGGCTACGAGGCCTCAGACACGGTTGTATATAAATACAAATTCCACCAGCTTTGGCGCGCTGAGAATGGTATCTGAAGCTTCACAGATGCTGCAATCTTGCTTTTGTAACCTGCAAAGCACTTCACGCAGATGAGCATTACTGACAAAATATGGGCACCGACAGAAGTGACAAGCGTGGCCGTTGAGCTGTTTGGTTTGACAGGCCTCAAGGAAAAAGGCTCAAAAGCCAGCCACCACCAATGCAGAAATAAATGTCTATGGCCACAGAAAGCTTTCCTTCCCAAATGCTGCAGGATAAAGAATGGATCAGCACAACACTAGGAAGCAGGAAAATATTTCTGAACACTGGGGGAATTGAGATGGCACAAGGCAAATCAGTACAGCTGAAGTGGAAGGACCGAGAGCCTGTACAATAAAGCAAACAAATCTGGAAATCTGTCCTAGGTGGAATCAATGAGCAGGAGCAGCAAATAAAACAAATGTCATATGAAGGAAAGAGACCTGATGCTTTTCCACAAGCATACAGCTACAGGTGCAAAAATCAGAGAAATATTTTCAATGTACCAGAAGCAGAAAGCTTGAGAAAAAGACAGAAAAGCCAGTGGATTCCCTTTTGGCAGAGGGGAGTAGTAAAGAAAGGCAAAGAAAGTACTATACATCGACATTCTCTTACATCTGACTACTGCAAAAGGAGTGAGAAGAGGTTCTTTAATTCCAAATTATTCTTTTTGGTAAGAAAGACCAGCACTATCAGAAAAAAGTCATTACTAGATCCAGATGTTCTGCATCCAAGACTTCTGAGAGAGTTCAAGTGAGAGGCTAAATAAGTGCTAGCAAATAGCGTAATCTGACAAAGAAACAACTAAAAACAACACGTCTGCAGGGGTCTTGGTACCTTCTGTACAGCCTTTTAAAAATAATTTAAAACTTAGAACCAGATCTCGAAGGATCTAGGACACTAAGGCACACTGAGTTTTATATATGCTTGGCAAATTGGTGGGAACAATGCCAGCACCTATTCTGAAAAAAAGTGCCAAACCCATCCCTCACTACTCTGCATCGATTTCCTCAGCACTTTGATGCAGCAGTGAATAAAACCAAAATATCTGGGGTCATTCATTTTGCCTTCCGAAGATTCCCTCAAACCAAGCTCCTTACATGAATGCTGCTGTTGTAGGTGCTGCATCTTGTGCCACCCGCTGAGACCCAAGGTGTCTTGGACAGCCATCGCGTAGCTGTTGACTTTGTCACACTCAGGGGCTCCTGTTCCTGGGTTTCCGCCTTGCTGGCCTGCCAGTCCAGCTCTTAGAAGCTGCCATGCGGTGGACCTGTGAAACGGCTGTGGCTCCTGCCTGAGGGCAAGGGTTTCGGAGAAGAAGAACAAGGAGGCTGGTGAAGGGTCTAGAAGAGCAACAAGGCTGGTGAAGCGGCTAGAGCACAAGTCTTCTGAAGAGTGGCTGAGGGAGCTGGGGTTGTTTAGTTTGGAGAAGAGGAGGCTGAGGGGAGGCCTTTTTGCTCTCTACAACTACCTGAAAGGAGGTTGTAGTGAGGTGGGTGTTGGTCTCTTCTCCCAAGTAACTAGCGATAGGACGAGAGGAAATGGCTTCAAGTTGCATCAGGGGAGGTTTAGATTGGATATGAGGAAAAATTTATTTCCTGCAAGAGTGGTCAGGCATTGGCACAGGCTGCCCAGGGAGGTGGTGGAGTCCCCATCCCTGGAGGTGTTCAAAAAATGTGTAGACATGGCACTTCAGAACACGGTTTAGTAGGCATGGTGGTGTTGGGGTGACTGTTGGGCTTGGTGATCTTAGAGGTCTTTTCCAACCTTAATGATTCTGTGATTC